ACCCCGTCTCGCTGAGGTTCTTCCTCTTTTTCACTGACTCTCCACTTTACCATGCATGATGTCCTCCTCTAGGTACTGTGCCTTCCTAAGAACATGTCCAAAGTGAGAGAGACAGTGTCGCCATTCACTCTTCTAAGGAGCATTCTGATTGTACTACTTCCAAGACATATATATTTGTTCTTCTTGCATGCCATGGTATTTTAAACATTCTTTGCCAATACCATAATTCATATGCATTGATTCTTCTCCAGTCTTCCTTATTCATTGTCTAGCTTTTGCATGCATTTGAGGTGACTGGAAATACTATGGCCTCACTGAGGCACACCTTAAAGTCCTTAAAGTGACTTTGCACTTTTAAAAAAGGCAATTGTTGTTGTTGTTAAGTGCCATTGAGTTGGTTCCAACCCATTGTGACCCTTTCTAGGGTTTCTGAGGAGGGACTGGTGAGCTTGGATTGCTGACCTTCCAGTTCAAATCAAATGACTTTGCAGTGCATCCATGAGCATAGATTGTAGATCCAGGGAAAATGAAGTCTTTGATAGCATCAATCTTGTCTCCATTTATCATCTTGATTGCTTCAGATGTGAAGATTTTCATTTATTTTGAGGTTCGATACATATTGAAGGCTGTCATCTTTGATCTTCATCAGTAAATATTTCAAGTTCTCATCTCTTCCAGCAAGCAAGGTCGTATCATGTCTATATCACAGTTTGTTAATAAGTTTTTTTCCAATCATGATGCAACATTCTTCTTCATATAATCCAATATCTTGGATTATTTGCTTAGCATACATATTGAATAAATATGGTAAAATGACACAGCCCTATGACACACCTTTCTTTATTTTAAACCTTTAATATCCTGTCATTCTGCTCAAACAACTATCTCTTGGTTATGTACAGGTTCCTCTTGACCACAACTAAAGGTGCTTCATAATATTTTCCACAAATTGTTATGATCCAATAAAATGCAAGTAAACATCTTTCTGGTTGTCTGTTTTCATCCAAGATCCATATGACAATAGCAATGATATCCCTAGTTCCACTCGTCTTCAGAATTTGGCTTGTATTTCTGGCAGCTCCCTGTTGATGTACTGTTGCAACCTTTTTTTTAATTACGTTAGCAAAAATTTACTTGCATGCAATATTAATGGTATTCTTTAAGTAATTTCTGATCATCAAATAAATGGGAGAAAGTTGTACTCCATCCACATCATTAAGGTCAACACTCCTTTGCAGAGATAATTCTTCCAAACTTGTACTTTGAGTGCCTTCCAACCTGACGGTCTCTTCTTCTGGCACAGTATCAGACAGTCTTCCCCTGCTATTCATAAGGTTTTCAATGGCTAACCTTTCAAAAGTAATCCATCCTCTTTCTTCCTAGTCTTTCTTAAGTTCTACTGAAACCTGTACACCATGGGTGTCACTGCTGTTGTTTATAATTCTGGTGACACATAACTTACAGTATTATAGCAACACACAAGCTACCACAGTACCATAAATTGAATAAATACATAGAGATGAAGAGAGAGAACATAATTTGGTAAAACTAGTTGCCAATGAGTTGCTTCCAACTCATGGTGACCCCCATGAGTTGAACAATGCACCATAGTGATTTCATTGGTTCCATTTTTGGAAGTATATCTCCAAGCTTTTCCAAGATGCCGCTGAGTACACCCGTCCCTTCAACCTTTTGTTCAGTAGCCAATTTGTTAAGCCACTATTTCAGGAATTGTAAATCTAAAGAGTGTATCACTGGTTAAAATAGATTCAATAGCAAGGCTAAAAAGAAATCAATATATACGAATTAGAACTGATTATGTGACAGCAGTTTTGTTAATATTTAGTGGTGGGAAGGAAAAGAAAATTGCTAAATTATATGAAAACAATTTTATACCCATCAGGCAGAAGAAAAATAAAAACAAATACATAGTACATTCAGGTTGGATTAAGAAAATAATTTCAGAAACTTAATTTATAATTCTTGCGGTAGGTTTTCATGACATCAGAATATGAAAGTGTATTCTAAGCAAAACACAACAAACAAAAAATTTCTTTCAAACACTCAAGGCAAAATATCAATATATATTGCCATGTTAATATCTTTAAAACATAATAAGTATATCAAACTGGTAAACCACAGACTGAAAGTTATCTGTAATATATGTATTTGTAATTAAACCAAAATGCCAAACAATTGTCCTGAGTCATTCTGACTCATAGTGATTCTATGTGTGCCTGAGTAGAATTGTGCCTTCTAAGAAACCCTATTCAGGGTTACTATGAGTCAGAACTGACTGGACAGCACTTAACAACAACAACAAAGGTTTTAACTGGCTTACACTTTGAAAGTAAATCACCAGATCTTTCCTCTGGGACACCCCTGGGTGAGTCTGAACCTCCAGCCTTTTGGTTAGTGGCTGAGCTTGTTAACTGTACCACCCAAGGACTCATAATCTAAGGACTCAAATTAGTTTTGTAGGTTCCAACTCATGGCAACCCCATGTGTGAAGGCATAATATTCATAAAACAAATGACCTCTGCAAAACAAAACAAAGGGAAAATAAGACATTAACTCCTTGTAAACAAGAAAGCAAACCATCCCTCCCACAGCTGTCAGCTGTGTTCAGTGTTGAATTGCAATGGCTGCAAGAACTCAGACACTATGCTTTCAGTGATGGGACTTATTAGGAAAATTAACAGGATATAATTCAGAATCAGAAAATGCTCAGGGCTCAGTGTTCTAGTCAGGACAGTCTCTGTGCTCACAGGCAGTCCGCTATCTGCCCTGGCAATGCTACAAAGCTCTTTTAGGACTGCTCATAAAGACCCATAGGACATATCACTCTACCTAAGCCTCAGCCTGAAGGCACTTGACTCAAGCTCCAGGAGTTTGTAAACCTAGCTTGACTCATTATCTAACCATGCTCTATTTCAACTTATTACAATTTAAATTAATTTTGTGAATATCCAAGATGAATCCTGCCATCCTATCTGTATCTTCTACCATTTTCTCTTAGCCAGACACATTAGGAAAAGAGTTATTTGGTATAAATTAAAAAGATTAAAGCTAGAAAAGACATTAAATAATTCACTACAATCCTCAAAAGAATATGCACAAAGAATGTGCACAAAAACTTGAATAAATATTGTTGTTGTTGTTGTTAAGTGCCGTCGAGTCGATTCCGACCCATAGCGACCCTGTACAGGGGTTTCCGAGGGTGTAAATCTTTACAGGAGTAGAAAGCCTTATCTTTCTCCTGCGGAGCAGCTGGTAGTATAAGCATGGAAAATTGACTCTCGATTTTTAATTAGGAATATTAAAACAAGAATGTGATTACTATATCCATCAGATAGTCCAAATTTTAGGAGTCTGAGGAACAGTGTTTTGTTTCCTATTAAAGTTGCTTATGCTGGTGTTGTTAAGCGCTGTCGAATTGGTTCCAACTCAAAACGACCTTGCATAGGGTTTCGAAGGAGTGGCTGATGGGTTTGAATCACTCACCTTATGGTTCAAACAGACCTTATAGTCTAGTGCTTATCCTACAGTACCATATAAGCCAAAAAGTATTGCTACAAAATCTTAGGAACCTTTATTAAATAAAAACATAAAAATATGAAGCTATTATTTCTCAACATATCCTGCAGCTAGGTCTATCTACTTCTAAAGTTGTTATTTTCATCCGTCCGTCTAACCCTTCCCAAAGCATTCTGCTCAGCTCTGTTTACAAAATATCAAAATAGCTATTTACACCTCCTTTAAGGATCCAAACCATATTTCTTTAAAGCGTTCTTTGAATTTTGAGAACAAAAAGAAATCTGAAGGGGCAGGATCAGAGTTATAGAGTTGATAGGATAAGGATAGCAGTAAGAAGAGACATTTGAAAGTCTGACTTTATAGTGTAACTATTTAAGGAGTACTGGTATGGCACTGTAAGATAAGCACTATACTATTAATTGCAAGGTCAGTGGTTCAAAACCACAGGTCACTCCTTGGAACCCTATACAAGGTAGCTACGAGTCAGAACCACTCAACAGCATTTAGCAACAACAACAGTTTCATATTAGGTTCTTTCTACCTGCCACACCTACACTGCACTACTCCCTTAGTTGCCCTAGACATTTCTCAAGGACCCTCCGACTTCCCTGGATCCACCAACTATAGGTTTAATACTTACTACCTCAAAAGACTTCCAAAGGTTTTTCCAGGACTGTGACTGCAGTCCCTCTTGATTGGTATCTTTAGCTTGTTTTTTTCCAAAGATTTGAATTTGAATATCAAATATGAACATAAGAACTCAAAGAAGCAAAGCAGCAAATGGACATTTGAAATAGAGTTGAAGGGATCTACAAACTGGTAATAAAGGATATGAAAATGTGTATTGTTTTAAGAGTTCTTATCATTTTAATTTGTGTACTATTTCAGAGGTGTGGCGCTGTGGGTTAATGTGCCAGACTGCAAAACCTTTTGAAAAGCAAGGTCGGTGGTTGAAGCTCACCTCAGAAACCCTATACAGGGTCGCTATGGGTCAGAACCGACTTGATGAGACTTAAAAACAATGTAATAATGGGTCTTACAGAAAAGGTTAAATTATATCATGTATGTTCTTTTTCAGAATATAGGAAAGTACTCAACATTCTTTGAAATGATTTTTAGTTGATTTTTCTCCATTATTTTAATGTAAGTGGCCCTCATCTCTATGTGGTCCTCTTCTGTGTGCTCCCAGGTTGAGCTCTGAATGTGAGACTTAGAATTGTTTATGCCTGTGCAATTCTATGAGGTTAACAACTGCATCTTAGTCACTATTATAAAATAGCATCTAAAATAAGGAACGCACAAAGTATTTCATATGTATTTTGCCAAAAAAGTATAACTCGATGTGAAGGCTATAAATACTATGTGTCAATATTCTTTCATTGTTGAAGACAGATAAATAAATTGTAATGTATTAAGGAAAAAATAGTAAAAATGAACAGTCATCTGTTAAAAATTTCTTTCAGAAACAAGAATTGTCAACATGCAAGTTCAGACAGTCACAAAATTCAAAACCATCACAAATGTTATAGGATATTTAAAGGGCTCAACATCTCCAGGTAAGTATGATTAAGTAATTTACAACAGTTTTCTTTTATAAAACTTCAGAGAAATGCCATGTAACTAGGAGTTTACACTGCTCTAAGAAGTGAGTAGATAAGAAACCAAGGAGTAGAAAACTGTTATTATATTCTATTGTACTATCTTTATGCAAAAATGCATCTTAGTAGAGTGTTGTTGCTATCTGTCATCACATCTCTTATTACTCATAGAGACCATGTATGACAGAGTAGAACTGCACCCCACAGGATTTTCCATGCTGAAAACTTAATGGCGCTAGATTGCTTCAAGTCTTTCCTACTGTGGAACTTCTGGTTGGGTTTGAACTGCCAAACTTTAGTTAGTTTCTGAGAATTCAGCCATTGTGCCTGCCACCAGGGTTCCTTAGTAAAAATATAGGAAAATTAAAAATAAAACAAAAAGTAAACAGTTTATACTTGTTAACACATCAAATGTCTTGTGAGGAAAAGTTGCCAAAGTCATAATTGTCTTAGTTTTTTTTTTCTTTTATTTGCCATAATGCCATTGAAATTTTATTGTTTTAATGGAGAAAACACTTTTTAAAAACATTGTTTGTCCCCCTTCCAAGACTAAGACTCAACAGAAATACATGCTGTGATTGGAGACCACACTCATCACCGATAGGGGGAAGTGGGGTAAAAGCAGCAATGAAAAGGCAAGCTAAGCCCTACAATGTTTGGTGGGCTTCTGTGGACCTGGCTGGAGACCTGGTTGGCCAGAAGTGTGGGGAGACCTGGGGACTCTTGGGCCCAGAGTCAGTGGCATGGCCACAGAGGACTAGAGTGGAGAGTGAAGCTACCAGCTGATAGGAAGAGAGGGCATATGCACAAGAAC